CCATATCAACATGGTTTGTTTCTTCAAACTTTCTGATCAACATGGTGTAAAAAAAGTTTCCAAAAAAAAAACATGGTGTAAAATATTAAAACCTCATTAACTAACTTATATTTTAAATAACATCATTTCTCAAAAACCCTATTTTCTTTTTTCCAAATTTGCTACAACTTTTTTTATTTTATTAAACTTTGTTTTCTACTACTAAAAGTTATTGTTTTACCAAGAAAAACAACTACAAGTTGTGTGTTCTAGTCGGCTGTTTTATTATATCACCTGCCGTATTAGCTAGTTGATCACATCTATTTGATATAAAAATACGTCTATATAAAAGCAACAACAAAAAAAATGAAAAAGAAGAATTTAAAAGACCCTCGCTCATAATTCATCACAAGAATGTCCACATATCGTATAAATACTAAAAATCCTCATAATTTTTTTTTTGTTTATAAATTGATAATATGTAAAACAAAACACAAAATTCGATTATGTCTAGCCTATTGTACTCTCTTCGAGACGTCCAACGTTAGAAACGAAATTGATAACTATATAAAAATGGAATAGGATTTGACCGTCCCAAGTCCAGTTTGACCGGGAATTAGATATTGTGAAAGAAAGATCCGATGATTCTATAATTAGAAAGCTTTGAGTATCTTTTTCATTCGCTAAGCATGGGACTTCATATTTTTTAACCACTTATACAAGTCAGAAGTACTATTTCTTACCACTTTTTTTTTGTCAACACTATTTCTTATCATTTATTAGACCATCCACATTGGAGACCAAATGTGGATGTCTCTAAATAAAAAAATATTAAAAACACACTCTCTCTTCTTTTTACTCAACTTTATACKTTCTCTTTCATCCTTTTACTCAACTTTTATTAATTTTATATTTAAACACARTCKAARTTTCATCKATTRTCTCTCCAACTTTGTCTTCCCCGAGACATCCTCTCTCCAATAATACCCACTATCTTATCTCTTTACTCAAATTTTATTAATTTTATATTTCAATACACCCCATTATTTCAACCAAAAACACTCTCTTTCTTCTTTTTACTCAACTTTTAATAATTTTATATTTAAAGACACATACAAAATGTCTCCAATGCGGATGCTCTTAGTCTTCGATTAACCCAATAACTAAAATAATATATTATAAAGTCAATGTAAGCTGGTGTAATCCTGGTTTTATGTCAACTGCTATATTGGAAAAGGTTTCTTACAAGTATTTGAATAGAATACATAGACCTTAACAACATTTGTGATCTTCCACCTGATTAGTATTCTATTCGTATCATCATACATATTAATCAAACAAAAACACATAATTCTAAAGAGAGAGAAGATCAAATTTTAATTAGGCCAATAGAAAAAAAAAAATAAGAGAAATGATCACAAACAATAAAATTTAAATAAAAAGACTACCTAGGAGACATTGAAGAGTAACTACAAGTAGCATGAGACCGAGAGGAGGAATGATAACTCTGAGAGGTTGTGTTGGTATTCACAGTGAAAGAGCTAAGCTGATTATTAAACTCTCTCCTCATTGCTCTATACACACCCTCCAATCCTTCTTCTATAAGCTCTAGAATCGTCTGCGGCATCGGCGGCAGATTTATCTCGTCCGAAGAGCCTTCTAGAAGCTTCACTACCTCTCCCATCGATGGTCTCATGGATACTTCGTCTTGTATGCACCAAAAAGCCACTTTAAGAGCTTTCACTACTTCTTCTTCCTCTGCTACACCTTGTAGCTTTCTATCCACAGCTTTCAAGGCCGTCCCGTTTGTTAGTTCCTATACATTATAATCAATATTTCAAAAATTATTAGGCGCCAATCGGACGTTCAAGTGCGGTTCAAACGCTAAACAAACCGTCCAAACACTAATTACGACAGATTTTTTGTGTATAAATTGTGATGTTACCTTGTAGGCCCATCCAGGGTAAAAGAAATCCTCAGCGTCAAAGGACATGTCAAGATTTCTTCTACCACCAACGATCTCAAGAAGAAGCATTCCATAACTATACACATCGGCCTTCACCGTGATCGGGCGGTTACTCACCCATTCGGGCGCTAGATACCCTCTTGTCCCTCTAATCATCGTAACCACTTGCGAATGCTCTCTCCCCATCATCTTAGCCAGCCCGAAATCTGATACCTTAGGACAAAAGTTTTCATCCAACAAGATGTTCTCCGGTTTAATGTCACAATGAATAATCCTGTTCCTACACTGCTCATGAAAATACGCGATCCCTTGCGCAGTCGCCACCGCTATCTCAAAACGTGTTCGCCAAGAAAGCAGCATGTCCGTCCGATCCGAAGAAAATATCCATTTGTCTAACGACCCATTTATCATATACTCATAAACTAGAAGCCTGTAATATCCCCAAAGAAAACACATTCCTCAAATCTTTTTGCTTAAAAACAGAGTAATTTTATTGAAAATGTCTAAAAACAGAGTAAATTTGTATTGTAGAAGTCTTTTAAGGTCAATGTTCTTATCTTACCGGTGTGAGTCTTCAGAGCAGTAACCGCACAAGCGAACTAGGTTCATGTGATGCATTGAACCAATGGTGTTGACTTCAGTGATGAACTCTCTCTCTCCGTGGGATAATACTCTGTCTAATCTCTTAACCGCGACCAGCGTTTCACCCGCTACTCTTCCTTTGTACACCGTACCAAATCCACCTGCCAAAACAAAGAAAATAAGATTTCAGACACTCCTAAAGTTATATAACTTGTAATAAAATTAAAACGAAGATTCTTAAATCCTGACCTGATCCAAGAAGTTGGGAGAAATTGTTTGTAGAGTTCTGAAGATCGCGGTAAGTGAAACTCACAGGAGAGTCACAAAGGATCAACGAGTTCTTTACGGCTCTCTTTAGTGTTCTCTTCCTATCCACATTATAATATAACAACATTCCAAGTAGTGCCACAAGCACAAGCATCCCCACAACTACTGGAATCACTAGAACCTTTTGTCTTAATCCGTGGCTCGTAGGTGATTTAGAATCGTTATTACCATCATTCGAATTCGAGGAGTAAGATTCATTAGCTCTAGTCTTCACGAAAAGGGTCGAACCAGGATCTCTAAACCCGCCAAAATTAAGACTCTTTAGAATCCAACAATAAGGCTTTTCATCATCTAAACCGTAAACCGAAGCCACACACTTGCAATCCGCCAAACACATCTCACCGCATTTCTTCAAGTTCCCGTTATCGCTGTAATTCGCGATAATAGAACGTTCCGAGAAATAGTAGTTAGTCTCTTGGACCGTCGATATCTTGAAGGCACCGTTACGATAAGTGTTGGTCTCACATTCTTCGACCAAAGATGAGTTGTCTGAACAGAGTTTAGCGTTTTCTTGATCAGGAAGCTTCACCGAGCCTGGCAAACATAAACACTCGGCATTTTTCTTGGTTCGGTCCAAATTACATACTCCATTACCGCAAATCCCAGCTATGTCACATGGATTTGATACAGCTGCCCATTCAGGTACCCATTGGCTTGAACCATTCATGTCGTTGTCCCACCGGTACAACCGAAGATTACCGTTGTTTTCTAATACCAATTTTCGCAGAACCGGCTTTTTTGTTAACCGGGAATTACTGCTATTGTTGTAATTCCGGTTTTCATCTGCCGGGTTCTTGTAGACATACACTGCTCCAGTTGAGGATTCTCCGTAAACGATCTTGAAGCTTCCGGTATCATCAATAATCGCGGTAACGTCTCCCGTGACATTCGAAATTTCTGGTCCGGACCAGTAGGAGTAGTTTGCGTGAGGGTCAAGATTGATGTTGTAGGTTAGGCCGAGGCTAAGCGAAGTGTGTTGCTGCAGCATTTTCAAGGAGTAATGGCCCTGACGCGACGGTGAACGATTAGAGGTTAGTTCTAAAGAAACGGTTAAGGGTTGGTTTGGGAGGAGAGTGTCGGAAGGTTGTGAAAAGCTCTGCCAAATGGCTGGAGTCGCGGTAACTTCGGTTCCAAGGAGGAGGAAGTTTCCGGATTCAGACATGACTGCTGATTTGACGCCGTGGTTTGAGGTATTTGATGTCCAGACGACGGTGGTTTGGTCGGAGAGTATGAGGTTTCCGGTGGCGTCTAGCTCCAAGACGGCTTCTTTTGTGACTGGGGAGTTTCTATATTTTAGATATTTGGATTTTTGAGTGAAAATAATGTCGAAATTTTCTGATTATTGAGCAAATCAATAGTTGGTATTAAAGAAATCATTTTTTGATTAAAATAGAATAAGCAAGTCAATAGATTATTGCAATAACTAAATAACAAAGGATACTGCAAAGGGCAAATTCAATTTCTTTTATGTATCTTTCTCACTATATAGACATATATCTGTTTATATAAGAATTTGTTTTTCATAATTTTTATATATTGGCTTTGTAAACTGGACAATGAAAATGTAGTCCAAAAATATAAAAATAACAAAGGATTATGTGCAGTACCTATTGGGAGACCAGACAATGGTTGGGTCACCAGGAAGTTGCGCGAACCAAATGCTCAGTAAGAACCGATCGGGTGGTTTAAACCGAGTAAACCCGATTGCAAAAGTACCGTTCGCTGAGAGCCATACCCGGTTTAGTTCATTAGCTATTAACTTTGAACCCAACCCGATGTGCGGTTCAGCGGCCAAGCCAACTTGAACGGAGCTAAGTAAGAACAACAAGAACAAGAGACTAAAAGAAGAAAAATAAAAATGAAATGAAGACATAGTACTAGTAGAAACCTTGTAACAATAAAGAGAAAGGCCTAAAAATTCGTTATAATTTATGCTTTCGTATTCTTTATATATTACCCGTTTATGGTTTGAAGTTTGAACGCATTAGAGAGATGATTTGATGGGAGAACTTTGAAGAAGGAGACTGTGGCACGTGTCTTTGTGGGTGAGCTATATTTTGACAAAAGCTCATCGTTTTCGTAAATGGTCGGTTCTAAATAATTGAAAATGTTATATTTTTGGATATGGCGGCACCTGTTTTGTGCCTTTTTGTTGTTTTATTAATCTTTTTAATGGTATCAAAGCTCTAACTTTAGTGGAAAATATGATTTCCATAATTTAATGATAATTTTCTTTTTATACAAATGTTTATTTTATAATTTGTGAATATGTGTTGATGGTATGAAAGATTATAGAGTAGCATAAATCATCAGAAGGTCTATTATATAAACGATTTTAATATTTTGGATTAG